TATCAAAGAAAAATTAAAAAAAATGAAAATAGTATTAAGTTGTGATGGAAAAGGAAATATTATGCATGGCTGGTGGGAATGTTAGTTAGTTTACTAATTATGTATATCAGAATGTAGGATGCTGAAAAGTCAAAAAGCAGGAGACACTCAGACAGGAATCCACAGCACTGGGGCAGTAGCTGAGAGAATGTATCCTAATCTATAAGCTGGTGGCAGAGACTGGACTTGGCATGGGCTTTTGAAATCTCAATGTCCTCCCCAAGTGGCACAACTCCTACAATGGCATGCCTCCTAATTCTTCCTAAAGCAATCCAGGAACTAAGGACCAAGCATTCAAGTATGTCTATGAGGGCTAGTCTCATTCAAATCTGTACAATATGTATCCTGTTAAGACCGTAGGTCTTCTTTCCATTTTCTTATCTGTCTTTAAGTGTATCAAGTCTCTTCAAGGTACAGGTTTTAAAGTGTCATGCTTTGCATACAGGATGAGAATGTCCACCCATAGGCTCATATATTTGATATGTGAACCCCAGTTAGGAATATTTGGGAAAGATTGGAGGTATGGTCTTAGAAGGAGTATATGTCACTGGTGGTGCGCTTGGAGATTTCAAAAGCTGTCACCATTCTCAGTCTCTTGCTGTCTCTCTGTCTCTTTTTCTCTGTTTCTCTGTCTCTTTGTCTCTCTGTGTAGGCGTGAGTCAGCATGTTCTGACTAGCATCCTATAATGGCCCATGCATGCCTGACACCCAAAGGCAACAAAGACCGAGTGTTACCAGGGCAGCCAGTTGGCTGGTGTCAGCTGCACAGGACAAGGTGTTATGACTCATGGGCAGAGGGTATAAAGACAATCTCCACAATAACAATTAAAAAGTCTGCTTCTGCTATTTATCTGGCTCCCAGAATCTGTGTCATTGATTCGGCACCTTCTTAGCCCCTACCCTCTTAACCCTTACCCTCGAGGACTGTTTAGGGCGCTAGGTCAACATCTCTGTTCCTTTGTCTCTGTGTCTCTGTCTCTCTCTGTCTCTCTCTGTCTCTCTCTCTCTCTCTCTCTCTCTTTCTCTCTGCGTGTGTGTGTGTCCATCTGTCTGCCTTGTGGTTGTTGTATCAACACATAAGCTCTGCTCTGCTGTTCCAGTGCCATGGCTGTCTGCCTGATGGAATAGTTGCCATGCTTCCTGGCTTAACTCTCAGAAATCTAAGCAAGCCATCAATAGAATATTTCTTTTCTAAGTTCCTTACTCATAGTGTCTCTCTTCAGAGCAATAGAAGTATAACTAAGACAGAAATGATTAATTAGGATTAATTCTTAAAAGAGGGAGCAATGTTAGGTCTTTGTATTCTTTTTAGCAGTGGCAGGAATGGAGGCAGAGTTCCACACTTCTCATTTTCATGGATTCCATACCTCTGCATATTCAAACCCATTCTCTTCAGAGAGTTCCATTCAGGCAAATCTGAGATTCATGGCTTCAGTGCAGAAGAGAATTTGAGGGATAGGTACTTTGAAGCTGATTTGGAGCTAATTTTAAAAGATTTAAAAATATTTTCTAGTAATAAATTTTGTTCCTTGACAATTAGAGACACATATATAATGCATTCTTATTACTCCTCTGCCATTTTAATCTCTAGCTCCTGTGAATCTCCCATCTTCCTTTCAATCTCTTTTCCATATTCATAGGTTTTTGTTTTGTGTCACATAGAGTTTAATTAGTGCTATTATTTTGATCACAGGTCTATGTAATTATCTATCACCACTTGCTGGTATTTCAACAGATATTTTAGAAATGGGTACTAAATTTTCCCTTCTACCAGAATCTACAAGTTTCCTATAGTTCAGCTATAAGTGTTAGGGTTCCATGAGCTATATTCACTGATATAGTTGGGCCAGTCTTGTGTAGGCTCAGTGCCAGTATCTAGAGTTGCTGTGAGTTCCTGATTGCTATGGTGACACTGAGTGTAGATGATGGCTATTTTATCTGTCTTTCTCCATATCTTTCAGCTCTCTGAATTTTTCTAACCCCATTTGTTAAATTAACCTTGTTCCTTATGAAGGTACGAAAAATTGTTTTGTTTCAGGTGATTATTATTCTAGGCATCTTGTCAAGCCATGGATCTCTCTGCATTCACTTCCATTTCCTCCAAAGAAAAGATTCTCTGATTAAGGCTGAGAGTAGCTTTTATCTTTGAGTATAAAAAATAGATACTTGGAAGGTGTTTTAGTATCAGTTTCCTTAACAGTAATATGTTTTCCCTGAAAAAAACAGCCTTTTTTTTTTTTAACTGAGTTTGCAGTTTTAGGCATTCATTCAATCTTGCAAGCTTACGTGCAAGCCATCAATAGAATATTTCTTTTCTAAGTTCCTTACTCATAGTGTAAGAGTGAGTAGTTACTCCTAGAACAGTTGTGTCACTATGGTACAAGAGGGCACTACTTGCTGGACAGGTGGGTATTATAGATGATAGAGTTGATAGGTGAAAAACAACATTGATACATAAATTTTATTATTAAATTTATTTATTTACTCACTTTATGTCCCAATATCACCCTTCCTTCCAGTACCCGTCACACAGATCCTCCCCTTCTTTGAGAGGTGGAAGCTGCTCTCTGGGTATCACTTCCCATCCCCCTATACATCTTGTCACTTCAGGACTAGGCACATCCTCTCCCACTGAGGTCAGACGAGGCATCCCAGTTAGGAGAATGGAATCCACAGGCAGGCAACAGATTCAAGAACAGTTCCCACTCCAGTTGTTGGGGACCTCACATGAAAACCAAGCTGCATATTTGCTACATATGTGCAGGGAAACACAACATGCATGCCTTCTTGGTTGGTGGCTCAGTGTCCGCAAGCCCCCAAGGGTTCAGTTTAGTTGATTTTGTTGATCTTCATATGGAGTTCCTGAACACTCCAATGCTTGTCATTGAGTGGGTCTCAATTTGGGCCAGTCATTGGTTAGCCATTCCCTCTGTGTCTACATTATCTCTGGCCCTGCACATATTCTAGACAGGACACATTCTGGGTTGAAGGTTTTGTGGGTGGGTTACTGTCTTTATACACTCTCCAAGAAGTCTTCCTCAGCTACAGGAAATGGCCACTTCAGGATCCATATCCCCCATGGCTAAGAGTCTTGCCCCTGTAGGCATCCTGGGGCCTTGTCCCAACCTAGGAGTCTGGCATGTACTAGAGACTGCTCCCCACCTCAAAGGACTTCAGTTCTCTCTCCCCTGCTCTTTCTACACCTTAATCCCCAGCCCCTCCCTTTGCTTCCCCATCACCACTCCCATCCAGTTCCCTCCCTTCATCCACCTCCAATATCTATTTTATTTCCCCCACTGAAAAAGATTCAACCATCTTCCCTTGGACCTTCCTTGTTATTTGGCTTCCTTGGGTTTGTGAGTTATAGCATGGTTACCCTATATTGTATGGCTAATATCCACTTTTAAGTAAGTATATACCATACATGTCCTTTTGGATCTGGGTTACTTCAAACAGGATGGCGGCATTTTCTAGTTCTATCCATTTGCCTGCATAATTTATGTTGTCCTTGTTTTTAATAGCTATATATAACTATCCCATACTATGACCCTTAGCCACCAGGAGAGAAGTTTCCAGCTCAGTTCATGCTTGACTTCTCTATATGTTGTTAAATAGTGAGTTATACCTTTAGTAATAGGGTCTTATCAAATAGTTCTGATATGAAAACCAGAAGAATGGCAAGACCTTGCATTGTTTGGGGTGGGGGCTATTGTGGTTTCCAGATAGTAGGTTTCCATGTGGCTTTTCCATATCCTGTTTGTTTGGGTTAACTTCCCTTTTAATCTCTACATCTCTGACATCATCTCATCCCCATCCATGATTAAATGGTCCCATTGCCATTATTCTTTCTCTCTTTCCTTCTTTCATAAATGTGATATGCTTCTTAATCTCTTAAAATAACCTACTCATATACATTATCTCTTTTTATTCCCTGGTTTTTAGGTGTACTATAAGTTAAATATACAAAAATAAATAACTAAGGATGAGTTCAAAATGTAAAAGAGTATGTCACAGTTTTTCCTTTGACTTAGTTAACATTACTCAGTATATTTTTCCAATACCATCTATTTGCCTGTAAACTGCATGATTTTATTTTTGTACCACCATTATACTCCACTAAAATATACCACATTTTTTCATTCTCTATTCATCAGTTGTTTGATGTCGGGGGCCAGGAAAATATACCCTGGAGCTAAAAACACTTGGCTTGGGCAGCCTGCCCTCTGCCACCGTGAGAACAACAGTCACTTCCTTGTTCTCAGCATGCTTGCACAGGGCTTCCGGCTAACCACGGAGAGTTCAGCTTGTCCCCTTACCCAACCCCTTACTCAAGCCCCTTACCCAAATGTTCCCTTACCTAATTTTAGTTTTCCATTCCCCACCCAACCACAAGTTCCCTAACCCAGTTCCCTAAACCCTTGCCACATGCTCCAAGAGGTCACCCCCTCCTTCCATTCCCCACAGTATATCTTGTAGCAGCTTCCGCAATAAAGTGAGACCTTGACAAGAATCAGCTGGCTCTGTGCCTTCTTTCTCCTTGCTTGGTCTCGCGCCTCTTTCTCCCCTGTTTCTTCCCATTAGGCTCGCCTTCTCTGAGGGACCCTGCGACAAAAGCTGCCCCGCGGGACGGGGCAAGTGGCGCCCGAACAGGGACCCCTCGTGGGGTGAAGACGAGTCGAACGAGGTCCCGATCGTAGCCGGCCGGCTTTGAATATTTGAGTGCTCCGAAGACTGTGAACTCACCAGTCCGACGAGCGATGAGTCACCTCGTTCAATGTTTTTCAAGAACAGGGCATAAAATATATGGATTTTTATCTGTGGGTAGGAGTAGGTCTTGTTTTAGAGTTTATTTTTGTTCTCCTGCTGTGTTTTTGTTGCAATTGCCACATACGCGGTAGAGAGTGCACAAGTCCACCTTGTGCCCCTGAAGACTGCTGATCAGTGGCCAACGAGCAGTAGTCATGGGACAGAAACTTTCTAAGGAAGCAGTTTTTATTCAAGACCTAAAAAATAGTCTTAGGGAAAGAGGTATAAGAGTTAAAAAGAAAGATCTTTTAAAATTTTTTCTGTATATTGATGGGGCATGTCCCTGGTATATAATTGATGGTCCTACCATCCATCCAAAAAAGTGGCAAAAAGTGGGCCGAGAACTTAATGATAAATTGATCAGAGAAGGACCTGATAGTGTCCCAGCCACTGTTTTTTCCTATTGGGGACTTATCAGAGATATTCTAGAGGCAGATGATGATGATCCTCAAAAAAGGCGCCTCCTTTCTGTTGCCGAGTTTTGTCTCCGGCCGCTTTCACCACCGGCCCCCAAGGCCCCCTCCAGAGCCTCGTCAGTTGTTATTGATATGCCTTCAGAGGCTGCTTCAGAGGCTACTTCCTCAAAACATTTGCCTCAACAAATTTATCCATCCCTTATTGCCCTCAGAGAAGAGCCTCTGGACCCAGGGGATGCTGCCACCCTGGAGGAAGAGGCTGCCAGATATCATGACCAAGATTGGTCCTCACCCCCTCCCTATCCTTTGCCACCAACCCTCACAGGCCCAGCTCTTCTTCCTTCTTTACGAGCACCCCTGTGTAAAGCCAAGGCGGATCTTACAGCTAAGGTTGGAGAGCTAACAGAAGTCCTCAACCTGCAAAAACAGTGTCTTGATCTTTCTAAACAGTTTGACAGTCTGCAGATCTCCCTTAAAAATACCTTTTTTCCCCAGACCTCAGAGAGTAAAATAACAAAAAGCCGCCAGAGGCCCCCTAATAAATCAGGGCCGAAGGTGTTTCCTGTTCTCACTCGAGCTCGTGCAACAGCACTTGAGCAGAGGCCAGAGCCCTCAGCCCCTGATACTACTGAGGCCCCTTCCGACCTTGACTATGATCCAGACACTGATAATCAGCCATCTAGTGACAGTGAGGGTGAGGGAGCTGACCAAAGAGATTATAAAACTCTTCAGCCTGCATTTAAGTCACTTAAATTTAAACATATTAAAGATCTTCATAATGCCATTAAAAATTATGGTGCAAATGCTCCCTTTACACTGTCTCTCCTTGAGAGCTTGTCAGGCAATGGATATCTTTTACCAGGAGAGTGGATTAAAGTGATAAAAACAGTTGTCGACCGGCCTCAATTTCTAATTTGGAAGGCAGAGTTTTTAGATCGGGCACAAAATATTGCCAGCCGCAACCAAAAAAATCCCTTAGCCCCCACAGCTTCCTGGTCAGCTGATAAGATCTGCGGGCAGGGCAAATATGCTTCTGAAGAAAAACAGAAGGGCTTGTCACCTGGCATCTTAGCTCAGACTGCTGAGGCCGCTTTAGGTGCTTGGAGAGTAATGCCTCCTAAAGGATCTGCCTTCTCTCCGCTCAGTAAAATCACACAAGGCCACCAAGAACCCTTTGCAGTTTGTCGCAAGGATTCAAGAAACTGTAGAGAGAATGTTCGGGCCTGAAGAGACAGAGGGAAAGATGGTTAAACAACTTATATTAGAAAATGAAAACCCCGCCTGTCGTGCTGCCTTACGTGGCAAAAATAACCTGGAAGTTAGCCAAATGATTCGTCTTTGTGCAGATATAGATCCCTTTGGACATCAAGTGGGACAGGCCATCACTATGGCCATGGGGGCAATGATGGATAAGGCAGCTACTATGGCTATAGGAGCAGTGATGAATAAGACATCTGATAAATCCTGCTTCCGCTGTGGCCAAGCGGGCCATTTCGCCCGCCAATGCCCTACTAATGTTGCTGCCCCCCTTGGCCCAGAGACAAATAAACAACACTCTATGCCCTTAGGGCTCTGCCCCCGGTGTAAGCGTGGCCGGCATTGGGCTAAACATTGCCGTTCTAAAACAGATGTTTCAGGAAACCTTCTTCCACCAGTTTCGGGAAACGGAGGGCGGGGCCAGCCCCGGGCCCCTCAACCAGTCTCCTTCCTGCCAGCCTCGGGGAACAGCCAGGCAGGGCCACAACAAACCCTTCAACAACAGCTCCCAGACCAGCCTCAACCCTCCATAGGGCTACCCCAGGGAGTCCAGGATTGTACCTCAGTGCCTCCTCCAATACAATATTAGAGGCCGGGGGAGGAGTCCAGATAATTCCCACTGGTGTTTTTGGCCCCCCCCCCCACCCCAAACTTATTTTTTGATTTTAGGCAGAGCATCAGCCACCCTTCAAGGAGTTACTATCTTTCCTTCAATTATTGATAATGATTATTCTGGAGAGATTAAAGTGCTGGCCTCCAGTTCCAGAGGGCCCCTTCACATTCGCCAAGGACAGCGTATTGCACAAGCTCTTCCCCTTCCACTAGATACATCAGCACCCTCTTTGGGGCCGCCCCGGGGTGCCTCCACCCCAGGGTCTTCCGATGCCTATTGGGTTCAACAACTTTCACAAGAACGCCCACAGCTGAAACTTAAACTTAATGGCAAAACCTTTGAAGGCATTCTTGATTCAGGGGCAGATTCCACAGTAATTTCACAGGCCCATTGGCCTGCCTCTTGGCCCTGTCAACCCTCCTTAACTCACCTCCAAGGCATTGGTCAGTCTATTAACACCCTTCAAAGCTCACAGCTGTTAACTTGGAAAGACCCTGAAGGAAATACTGGACATGTTAGACCTTTTATTGTTCCAGGCCTCCCCATTAACCTATGGGGCCGAGATATTTTAAGCCAAATGGGAGTTTTTATGTTTAGCCCCTCTGTGACTGTCACCCATCAGATGTTAGATCAGGGATTTGTTCCTGGCCAGGGCCTGGGTAAAAACAACCAGGGGACTCCCACTCCCCTTGAGGTCTGGCCAAAACATTCACGTTCAGGATTAGGTTATAATTCAAATTTTTCTTGAGGGCCATTGCTCCTCCTGCACGTCAGGCAGATAAAATCACCTGGAAATCAGATTCCCCTGTCTGGCTCGATCAGTGGCCCCTTCCTCAATATAAGCTTTCAGCGGCCATGCAGTTGGTGCAGGAACAGTTAGATGCTGGCCACATTGAACCTTCCACCTCTCCTTAGAATACCCCTATATTTGTAATTAAGAAGAAAGGGGGAAAGTGGAGATTACTCCAGGACCTCAGAGAAGTTAATAAGACCATGGTTCCTATGGGAGCACTTCAGCCTGGCCTCCTCTCCCCTGTGGCTATACCCAAAGGATATTATAAAATGGTTATTGATTTGAAAGATTGTTTTTTTTTGTATTCCTTTACATCCAGAAGATAGTAAGCGCTTTGCTTTTAGCCTTCCCATTGTTAATTCTATTGGCCCATCTCCACGGTTTCAATGGAGAGTTTTGCCCCAGGGCATGGCTAATAGTCCTACCCTATGTCAAAAATTTGTGGCACAGGCCATTGATCCTTTCCGTCTTCAATATCCTGATTTGTATATCATTCATTATATGGATGATATTCTCTTGGCTGGTCCTGATGAGACCGCTTTATTTGAGATAAGCCAACATCTGGTTACTGCCCTCCAAGATCTTGGGCTGCAGATAGCCCCCGAGAAGGTCCAGCTCCAGCCTCCCCATTTATTTCTAGGGTTTGAACTCCACCCTTCTAAGATTTTGTCCCAAAAGATTGAGCTCAGAAAAGACTCCCTGCGCACACTTAATGATTTTCAGCGCCTTTTGGGAGATATAAATTGGCTACGCCCCTATTTGAAGCTGACCACTGGTGAACTTAAACCCCTTTTTGATATTCTTCAGGGAGATTCAGACCCTTCTTCCCCCCGCACATTGACCCTTGAGGCTGCCTCTGCCCTTACACGTGTAGAGAAGGCTATTCAACAACAGACTGTTACTTATTATTCTCCTGCCTCCCCCTTGTGGCTGTTGATTCTTCCCACTGTGTTTGCCCCCACAGGACTTTTATGGCAATCCAAGCCTTCATATTGGCTCCATTTACCTGCCACCCCCGCTAAGGTTTTGCCTACCTATCCATTCCTGGTGGCACAAATAATAAAGCTGGGAAGAGAGACTTCCCTTAAACTTTTTGGTAAAGACCCTGACATTGTCAGCCTCCCTTACAATGCTGCTCAGGTCAAATGGCTCTTACAGACTTCTGATGATTGGGCTGTTAATTGTGTTTCATTCCAGGGAAAAATAGATAATCATTATCCTTCTGATAGGCTCATACAGTTCCTTCAACATCAGGCAGTTGTTTTTCCCAAAATTACCAAAACTTCTCCCATTCCCCAAGCCCCCCTAGTCTTTACAGATGGGTCTTCCTCCGGGGTTGCAGCCTTTCGGCTTGATGGACAAGTCTCCAGGGTCCAAACAAAATTCTCCTCAGCACAGTTGGTAGAGCTGGTTGCAGTTATTCAAGTCTTTAAGACTCTTACAGATTGTGCTTTTAATTTGTTTACCGATAGTGCATATGTGGCTCAGTCAGTGCCTTTGTTAGAAACTGTTCCTTTCATTAAGCCATCCACCAATGCCTCCCCACTTTTTGCTGAATTACAGAGATTGATTCTAGCCAGAGCCCATCCATTTTTTGTGGGACACATTCGTGCCCATTCCGGCCTTCCTGGGCCTCTTAGTAAGGGAAATGATCTTGTTGATAGGGCAACTAGAGATATTCAAACACCTTTAGAGGCATTAGCCACCCTTCCAGACGCCGTGCAAAAGGCACAAGAGGCCCATCGACTTCACCATCTAAATGCCCAGACTCTTCGACAATTGTTCTCCATTACCAGAGAGCAAGCACGTCAGATTGTCCGTCAATGCCCAGGCTGTCTTACCCTTCTGCCTGAGCCCCACCTAGGGGTGAACCCTCGAGGACTCACCCCTGGAAGCTTGTGGCAGATGGATGTTACCCATTTTGCCCCCTTTGGCAAACTTAAATATATTCATGTTTCTATTGATACCTTTAGTGGTTTTCTTTCTGCCTCCCTACAGACTGGTGAGGCCACTAAACATGTTATTAGTCATTTAATTTCTTGCCTTGCTTATGTGCCCCTGCCCAAGATGCTTAAAACTGATAATGGGCCTGGATATACAAGTGTTGCCTTTAAACAATTTTGTGCCCAGCTTAACATCAAACATGTTACAGGCATCCCCTATAATCCTCAGGGACAAGGAATTGTCGAAAGGGCACATCAGTCCCTTAAAAACATGCTTTTAAAATTGCAACATTCAGGGGGCATTCTTTACCCTCAAAAGGGAAATCATAAAGTGTTATTAAACCATGCCTTATTTGTTCTTAATTTTTTAACCCTTGATGAGAAGAAAAGATCTGCTGCAGATAGGTTTTGGCACCCCGCTACCCAATCTTCCTATTCTAGAGCCCTGTGGAAAGACCCCCTTACATCTAAATGGAATGGGCCTGACCCTGTTTTAATTTGGGGAAAAGGCCACGCCTGTATTTATGATGAGACTGCACAAAGTGCACGGTGGTTACCAGAAAGACTGATAAAGATATTTGATACCCCAATCCAGGGACTTGTCCCTGAGAATAGATAAAATCGTGTTTTTACAGGTTAAAAATGAAGATGGGTTTGCTCCTCCTTTTAAGTATTATTGTGGTAAGTTTTCCCCTTTCTGCCTCCATTGTTAGATATCAACTTTTTAATTATACCTGGGTCATTTCTAATGAGGCGGGAGATGTTGTAAATACGTCTTCCCAGATTGGATCAGATATTCACTGGCCTATAATAATAGTAGATCTTTGCCAGTTGGCCTTGGGGGCTCGTGAAATTTGGGGCACCCCTACTCACTTTCTTCCTCAAAAGGCTCCAGTGACCACTCAACAAAGATATAGCACTAGGCCTGGATGCTATAATAAATGGGCCCGATCCTACCTGTCCCTGGCCCCTGTTTATGCTTGCCCCGGGGACCATCGACCCCGATCCTCTGGAGAGTCATGTGGTCACCGAGATGTGGCCTATTGCAACTCCTGGGGCTGCGAGACCACAGGCGATACTTATTGGAAGCCCTCCTCTTCATGGGACTATATTACCATAGCTAGAGATAATCCACCTTCAGGTGCCTCGTATTCTGGGCCTACCCCATATAATAAGGCATGTGAGAGTTGGTGCAATCCCCTTAAGATCTCCTTCACTAGTTATGCAAAGAAGGTCAATTGGCTACAGTCTAGAGGATTTGAATGGGGATTATGTGCATATATGAAGGGCTGTGACCCCTGCCTTACCTTTAAAATTCAATTACAAAGATCTATTCCAAATGTAGCCTTGCCACAGGCCATAGGGCCTAACCGCATTCTTCACCCAGGTCCCAAAAATAAATCTGTGCGGGGACCACAAAATAAATCTGCACAGGCACCATATTCAGGGTCTGTCAGACAGTCACCTGCCCGGCCTTCGGTTTCATCACGTTCCTTTTCTCCTACTCCTTTTGTCCCTACCCTCCCCCAAGGGCCTATTCCATCTTCTCAGCTTATTATTGATCTTGCCAATGCTTCAGTTCAAGCCTTGAGAGATAGTAATTCGACCCAATATTTGCCCT